CCTTGTTAACTTTGTTAGGTCTTGTTACATCGAGAAAAATGATGAAGTAGACTTGTAAGAATTGACTAGTTAATATCGCTCGATCTAACAGGCGAAGGCCAATGTTAGATGTTAGGTCGTAAATGTAGTATCATTGCTATCCGTTTGGACGTAGTAAAACAACATGGCAGCCATGAATTTAACAGCTGATTTTGTTTACATGTACATTTATTCTTAAATAATCATTAATTTAATCAGACCAATACATTTCTTTTGTTAATTTCCGACCTGACTTTATACTCTCATTCATAGTAGATACCCATATCCTATAAAGTTGTAGGCTTTTAGACGTTAGGTTACAAATTAGGTGTGTCGGCACGAATTGAAGCGTGCGATTTGTTAGTACTTTTCGAGTGCAAAGATAGCATTTTGAATGAAAGAGTTATTTTATTTTCTTTTTTATTAACTCCTGGCAAAAGAAAACCAAAACAAACAAGAAGCCTTCAAGGACTGTTATAGCTTTATATTTGGTTCTACCAATCGCCACGCGCAGCATCGCGGAAAAATTAACGTTTAATATGCTAAGAAAAGAAGGGGACGTTCACAATCATACTGGGCATTTTTCTATTCGAGTTAACACGTGTTAACATCTTACAAACACCGTGAATACCCCTAATATATACCATCAAGAGGATTCGGGCCGGGGTTAAGCAACGCCTTCATTTCACGCTAATAAGTTACATTCTTTACAATAAATTAGCATAAACAACACAGAAACACAAATAGTCATAAACACTGCACAAACATGACACCTTTAAAAATTCTTGAACCTCTCAATTAAAGTATTGTTTATAACCTTAAGCCTTCTACAAATGAAAATGCTCTCGACGGTTATTTTATTCTTGCGTAACAGCAGGCCCGCCCTAAAAAATATGTATAAAATTATTATTTTAAGCGAAAATAATTAAGAATATTAAATTAAAATATTTTACATAAATAAAACAAGTACTTTAAAAATGACACAGAATGCCGACACGTGGTCGATTTGATTTTTTAAAAATCCCTATAGAAAGGTCACGAAATAACAAAAATTATATTATGATTTATTGCTTTGGTTTCTCGTAATAAGGGTTTATCAAAAATAAAAATAAAAACAATACTTACGAATAAATTAATATGACTACGTGTTATGGAAGATCATCTGACTAAACATGACTACTGCTTTACTTTGCGCCTGGATTGAGAAGAAATGCTGAAACGCTTATCACCTGCTGCAAACTAGAACTGGCCATTAAGAACGATTGAAATATGAGAAAAAATGTATTTATATAAGATCCACTCTGAACATTACGTATTTACAAATAAATATTTACAAAATAAACTAACTATATAATTGTTTGAAATGCCGACGCTATCGACAAAACGGTCAATCAACCACCTCATTAAAAACATGGTACACTCACACTTTTACTCATTCTTCAAATTTTTTCCTATTCACATGCCATTCTCGTATGGCGATATTCATCCATCACCCTTTAAAAGTATCATATATAACTTATATACTTGCTGGTGGTGTCCTCAGGTGTTTTTAATGTCTTCGTTTTAATGGCATACTGCTAGGCTATAATAAAGTTTGGGGCCTGAAATTTTCATATTGGCTCCACTCTTGGCAAATATATCGCCTCATTGAATCCAGACCTTGGCCAGGACAATGTTATCTCGGAGTATTTCTTAGGATTTCTACTTCCAGACATTTTGACCGTAGTTCACGATTTTTTTAACTAATAAGCTTTTTGAGCTATGCGCATCTGACTGTCAGAGAGAATGGCTATATTCTACGAGTCGAATCCAAGCTTATTGGACACTCTGACATCCGATAGGATTCTATCCTGCAGACAAATTTTGACATCATCTGACGTCAGAGAATAAAAAATTCAATGTTAGGATTTATTCCTAGACCCTGGTTCCTGAGCAGTGGTTTTGAGTCGTCAGTATTCTATAAAGAATCGGGTTGGGTTTCTTTACCTTCAGTCTTACATTTTTGTTAGAATTACTTTGTAATTGTTACATTCACTAATTTCGTGGTCCGGTGCACCAATTAATATATTACAATTAATTAAGGTTTTTAGTTGAGATAAAAATGTCAATGGCACGGGCAGGATTCGAACCCACCATCTTCGGCTAGACACGCCGCTGCTCTACCACCTGAGCTATCGTGACCTCAATCCACTCGGACACCAACTTCCCATCACAACCCCACCTTTTGAATTTTCCCTCCTTTTTGCCATTTTTCCATTCATTTTTTATCTCAACTAAAAACCTTAATTAATTGAAATATATTAATTGGTCAAGCAGACCACGAAATTAGTGAATTTAATGATTTAAAATGAAGTATACTTCACTAAAGCGATCGTGAGTTCGTTCCACTCAGACACTAACTTCCCATCTCAACCCCACCTTTTTGAATTTTACCTCCTTTTTGCCATTTTTCCGTGGCCATTTCATTTTTCGCTGAGAATCCAATCCGATTACACGACATTTGAAAAATGGCAAAAAGGAGGGAAAATTCAAATGTTGGAGTTGAGATGGGATGTTGGTGTCCGAGTGGATCGAGGACACGATAGCTCAAGTGGTAGAGCAGCGGCGTATCTAGCCGAAGATCATGGGTACGAATCCCGCTCATGCCATTGACTTTTTATCTAAACTAAAAAGCTTAATTAATTGTAGTAATTGTTACAATTGAAATTACGAGTTATAACATCAGCACATCTAATATGGCGTCAGTAAGTCATCCATCATGTTTAACTGTCCATTAACATATGTAAGTTGTCCATTTAAGAGGTTATGAACAGTTTCTCTAGCTTCTCTTTGAAAGTTAAATAAAGCATTTATTTAAATTCAGTCGTAAAGCATTTGAACGTTAAATTCAGTCATTTTGTGGTTTTGTCGCGCCAATTGGTGAGAGTTTTTGTTTTCAATCTATAATTTTAACCTTGCCGTTTTCTGAACTGCTCCTTGCTTTATCCACTCTCTTTTCATCACTTTTTTTCTTTAGTCTCGTACGGTGTACAGAGCAATTCCAGTTCTGTGACAAGAACCCGCAGTTTGCTTACCTTCCATCACGTCGGGTTTGGAAGGAGCTTTCCAGGTAGACAAGGTTCATATACAGTCGACACTACATAAGTCTGCCAATATATAGTTCTAGGTTCCGCACCTTGTCCACAGTTGGGATGGCTATTTGGTTCAAGGAGACTGGAAGAGGGATCTTTTTGCGGAGGATAAAAGTTATGTGGATGGTTTTTTCTGGGTTGAATTTTAAACATTTTTTTACGCCATGAGTCCAGTAGTGTGAGGTGTTCTTAAAAGTTTCGGGTAGAAATGGATCACAAATGCTTGAAAGGATCGCTGTATTGCCTGCAAAGGTGGAGGTTTGAGGATGGGAAGGGAGGTCTGCTAGGTACTCTTGGTACAGTACGGGCTCCCTGCGATACACTTGCAAGGAGAAGGTGGTTTGGTGAAGACGGCGACCCTTCAATGTCTCGGATGTACCGGTCAGATGTTGCCATCTTTACTCATGGCGTAGAGACCCATGAGGAGCTTTAAAGTTCGGACGTATCCCCAAGGGGACTTATCAGACGCCTAGTGTTCTCGAAAGAACATCAGGAAGATTTTACATGCATGGACCTGTCACATCCCTTGCCTAGCGAGGTGGTGCAATACTAATCACGTTCAGAAGTACTCTAGAAAGGGCACAATCATACATGTGCCTTAAAAAAAGGCAGTTTTGTGGTTTCCAGCACAGCCTTTTAGCCATGCCTTTCACCACCCCCGGAGAGATAGAGAAGGCACTCTATCTCCAGCTCCGGTAGGCCTCCAGCTAAGGTACAATTTATTTACAAACCACGACCAACACGAGTCCAACCTCAATTAGTGGAGCCGCTTGGATACTCCACTCCCGTGATTCAGTTTTATTTTTAAGGTGGGACTTAACGCCCATCCAGAAGGTCATACGAACTCCCTACTGATGCACCCGTTGCCTGAGGGGTGCGGGTTCAGTAACCCAGGAATCCTCTGCCAAAGCAGATGGGGAAGAGGGAGGGGAAAGAAAAGGGGTAGGAAGGATAAGGAAGGTAATAGGGATATCCTCCATCATTGGTTACCCCCAGGCACCAGGGTTGATGGTCGAACTTTGCCCGGAAGTCCCTGTGGGTAGGGATGTACCGGTCAGTGAGGTAGCTTCGAAAGACAAGGTCGTAGGATGTTCTTGAGAGCGAACAGCAAGCCCAGGTGCCATACTCGTCTTCACGACAACGCCAACCCTGGGAAAACGTAAAGACTTAGGAAACCTTACCGCACGTTCCCTTATTCACCCAACTTCTTTCGACTTTTGAACCCCGGTGTCGAACACTTTTTTTTGCAGAAAATGTTTAGAGAAGGCGATGAAGCCGAAAACGCCTTCCAAGACTTTAATGTGAGTTCAATTAAAAATTTGTATGCCAGCGTGGTAAAAGCGTTTATTACACGTTGGCAAAAGTAGATAGATCGTGATGGAAAATGTTTTGAATAAATTTTCTTTATTTTATACAAATTAAAATTAGTTTCGATTGCCTTTTCAAAACTTGCATTTTCCTCAAATCAAGCATTTATTTCCTCTGCTTGGTAAATATGCGGGATTTAGCCCAAAGTTGTGTCTTCGTCATGTTATAAATTGCTTGACATTAAATGAATAATTGTTTATTAGGAAAAGTAAAAGTAGAATATAAATGGGAAAATATTAAAATAATATTGAATATCTCTTTCGAATGTATTTATGTAGATGATAAATAAAAGAAACTACGAATTACTACTAAGTATTCTTTATGTCGATAAAATTTATGATCGGTGAAAAAAAACACAGATATTTTGATTTAAATTTGCATCGTGGATGAAGAGGCCATAATTAAAACCAAATGGAAAGGGTTGAATAGTGGTTTGCGCAAAGGGCATTAAAATTGTTCGGGAGGGGGGCGGTGTTATGGGTAAGCCAGTTCCTCCTCGTCAGTCGTCCAACGGATTCCGTCGGGTGAACCACGGTCTCGCTCTGCCGAGGATTTGCGTCTTTTGTAAACACTCGCGTGAACTGGGCCGGACTCATTTTTCGTTAGTCTGTGCAAGTGTCAGTGCCCTGTGCCATCCAGCCCTGGAACCTCCTACCCTCCGAGTCACCTTGAGTTTTGGATAATTTGCGATTTCTGGTAAGTGGGCACATTTTTATTTGTTCCGGTCTGTAAACAAAAGAAATCCTCTGCCAACATATGTATGATGTATGTTTAGAAAACGGTCTCAACTCTCTCAGAATATGTCAGGGATATCACATGTTCGCGTTTTTTGAAGCGTCCTGGAAATACAATGTTTTTCTCCCCAAACCAGATGAATTTTATCTTTTACGAGTGACCAACAGTACAAATGAAATCCATTGTGGTGTAGCACATTTTTTATTGTTTAAATACAAGTTCAATCCGTTATAAACTTTTGTACGCAGCCCAGAACTCCATAGATACTTATGTACTAGTATCTACTGTTCAAAGATTGATTCGCTTTTGATTGTAAGTGAAAAAAATGTAATTCGGTCGTTTCGTTTGTCTTTCAGTGTTTGGTGACAATGACCAATAAGATAACAAGAAGCTTAAACCTTGCCCACCAAAGTAGCGAGTATATGCGGACCAAAACGATCGCAGACAACCAAACTAGTTCAGCACACGGCAGACCCGTAGAGTACAGATCAGTGTTTTTGGTGAAACCAAGTTATGTGAATTCCTACAAGAAGAAACAAATTGTTAGTTAGCCGGGGTATCGGAAAGACGTGAGAATCACCTACTCGGTTGTTGGCTGACCGGAGTCAAACCTCGTCCTGCCCACCGAATTTTACCTTCGGGGCCTATACATGTGGGATTGATTCATTTCAAGCCCCAACCCAGGCAAAATGGTCGAATTAGTCATTTTAACTTACAGTTAGAACTTAAGTCCAGGCTGATTCGTTTTTAAATACGAAAATATTTTTCCGTCTTGAATTTTTTTTTTTTACTTAATAAAATATAGTGGGTTTTTTCTTTTTTACGCTAAATTGTAATTTGCTACTGTAACTTTGCCAAATTCGAACTCAACTAGAGATTTTTCGCTGAATTTTATCGGAAAACTTAATTGTTTGCGAGATTTTGGTTGAAATGAAAAATTCTGTGTCACGAGCGGGATTCGAACCCACGACCTTCGGGTTAGATTCGAATCCCGCTCATGACACTGACTTTTTCATTTCAACCAAAACCTAACATAAAAGATTAATTAATTGAAAGAAGTAATTTGGTCAATAGACCAATAAATATAATTTATTTATTGTTTGCATAGCGATGGACTTGCATATTGCACATTTTCCGAAAGTGTTGATCTGTCAGACGCATTACGTTATATCGCCTTCTTATTAAAAGCTGAAGATGGCGAGAAGCAATCCGATAGACAGAACAGCTAGGCCAAAATTATCATAAACGTCCCTTTGTCTTGCTTTTTTGAAAACTTATTTTTCTAAGTACATGTCTAAAAATCGCTCAGTTCGGTATTTCTGTCAGAACCGTTGTTGCTTCTGCGTTCTTGCGGGTATTTGACAAAATTGTTTCAACAGGGCTCCTAATCTGTATTTGAAATTTTGACTATTTATTTAGAAATACTCACGATCAATTCAATTGTGAAGTTGTACAACACGTTTTTCAATTTTAAGCAAACAAAAAAAAGAGGACAATTTAAGTAACTACTTTTAAAATAAGTGTGTCTTGATGTTATTACGAATGCTTAAGTAAGGGACATAAAAAAGAAAATGTGCGTGATGGTCGAAATCGTGAGGAAAAACGCCAGACACGAAAAGAAAATCACAAAACACATCATACACGTTTGAAATCTGTGTTTTATTAAACGTTTATTAGGCAGCAGCATAAACGCCGTTTTTATGTTTTTTTATTCATTTCATTTTCGGTAAGTCACGACTCAAGACGCACGACTTCCTTTATTTAGTGTCGAGAAGCCTGATGTTTTTAAATGAGAATTGCCCATTGAATTCCCAAGACTGAGTGTATTTTGCTCTTTAAATATTTGATAATCGAAACGCTCGAAATGGGAATGTTTCAAGTGACTGTTTAAACGTCATTAGTTCGAGTTGACGGGGTATTCGATTCACACTTCGGCCCGTGTCGCTGTCTGAACTCAAAATCTGTGGTTAAATTCGAAAATCAATTTTTAATACATACGACGAGCACAGTTTTATGAATCATTAACACTGCGCGACTTGAAAATATGGTATTTAAAAGAGATAGGAAGAAAATTTAGGAAAGCGAGGAGTCACATGGTGCAAGCAGAATTGCAAGTGTATAGAATTTAAGAAAATCGCCTAGAGAAATGACAAGAAAAACAATATATGTTAAATACATCGCACATGATCTTATAGAGAAGTGGTATTTCTTAGTACGATTTGAAAAAAGCAACACCGTATACTGAAAATATGGTACTTAAAAGTTTATTTCATGGAAAAATTGTTAAGAAGACGTAGGAAGAAAATTTAGGAAAGCGAGGAGTCACATACTGCAAGCAGAATTGCAAGTGTATAGAAAAGAAATAATACTAAATTTGCCTAGAGAAATTTAAAAAAAAAGGAAAATACATCGCACATGATCTTATAGAGAAGTGGCATTTCTTACTACGATTTGAAAAAAGCAACATCGTACTCTGAACATATGATACTTAAGAGATTATTTCTTGGAAAAATTGACAAGAAGACGTAGGAATAAAATTTAGGAAAGAGAGGAGTCATATGCTGCAAGCAGAATTGCAAGTGTATAGAAAAGTGATAATACTTAATTCGCCTAGAGAAATTATAATAAAAAAAATGTAAAATACATCGCACATGATCTTATTGAGAAGTGGCATCTCTTATGATTTGCACCGTTTAAAATAATTTCTTTCAATTAATTAATCTTTATGTAAGGTATTGGTTGAAATGAAAAAGTTAGTGTCACGATCGGGTTTCGTACGCACGCTAGCTCAAGTGGTTAGAGCAGCGGCGTATTGAGCCGAAGGTCGTGGGTTCGAATCCCCCAATTAATTTAAAAAATTGTACATATTTTTTTTAGTTGTAGATTTACTTACTCCACATCGTATTCGGTTTTCTTTCGTCCCAAGGAAATGCCCTATTTTGTCGAATCGGGTCCCCGACGAAATCCTGCTCATAACAGTTGATACCCCGTTCGTTCAGGTGCATTTCCGAATCTTTCAAGCAGTTCATTCGCAACACTTCCTGGAGAGGCTCTGTATAAAAACCAGGCATTTTCTAGAGCCACATCTACGGTCCAGATGGCATATCGATAAAATTTTCTTTTAGGTGATTCAGTGATGGATTTATTTTCCAAAGTCTGTCTTCTCTATCGATGAAGTGGTCACTATTATTGGCAAAATGTAAATGACGCATAATATCCTCAAAACGGTTTCTTACGGCGCAAAATACATAAAACTGGTATATTTTGACGGTTTTGTGTATTGATTATTATAGATTTAATAAGTTTTATAAAGAAAAAAATTAAACCTGTTTTTTATTGTATGTTCGCCAAGCTAAAACTAACTGATCGGATGGATCACATATTAAGCAGCAATTGCTATATTAATACTCACATCTACATTGAGATGAAAAAAAGGAATTCGGTGATAGTATATTGTAAAATGAGGCAATGTCGCAAAAACGGGTTTTCTTATTGACTCCGACTAGAGGAAACAATTTCCATTTACTTTTGGAAAATATGGACTTGCCACTAACAGGATCTTTTTATTATCTACTGATTTTTCATCAGCATGAAGAGAATTTTAAAATTTAAGATAAAAAGTCAGTGTCACGAGCAGGATTCGAACCCACGATCTTCCGCTATATACGACTTTTTTATCTCAACTAAAAACCCTAAATAATTGAAAGATATTAATTTGTCAAGCGGACCACGAAACTCCGTTTGTGAATTTATGTTAAATTGTCTAAAATACGAGTCGCCCTTTCAGTCCATCTGACGGCCGTTTCGCTGGCACATACCTATAACATTTAAACTGCTGCGAAGAATGTTAAAAATTCGTTTTGTTTAAACGGGAATTTTCAAGAGATTGGCAAATTTCACAAAAACTGAGGCGTTTTATCAGTTTTGGAATGGTATGCTTGATATGAACGGTACATTTTATTTCGAACAGTATCGCAGATGTTTTTGTATGTGTTTTTTAAATAATATTACATATATTTTTACTGCAGATTAATGTTAAAACAAAGATTGACGTTTTTGTAAAAAGAATAAAAAATATACTATACTCAAAATTCATCTCAATACTACTCAGGCATAGTCTGGCAATTTTCTCTTCATTCGCATTATAAGTTAACAATTCTCTTCGATTTTGAGCTGAATTAACTTTTACATTCGTTGTCTGAAAAATAGCAAAAAACGAGGGAAAATTCGAAATGTAGGTTGAGATGGGAAATTGGTGGCCGAGTGGATCGAAGTCTGGATAGCTCAAGACGTAGAGCAGAGTCGTATTTAGCCGAAGGTCGTGGGTTCGAATCCCGCTCGTGTCACTAGCTTTTTCATTTCAACCAATACCTTACAAAACGATTAATTAATTGAAAGATTCGTTGTATAGTTAAATCAGGATATTTCTTATCCCGATACATCGTAAGAAATTGCTGGACCCTTGAATTAAAAGAAACGTGTCTTTGAAAATGCTTAGACATGACATGAGAAGTTTTCCACGTCTTCTCCACACACTGTCCGGGCCTTTTATGGCCAAAACCCAAAGAAGAAAAAAGTTGAGAGGTTTAATAAAAAAAGAAGCCCTCTCATTGTTGAAATGCCCAAGGGAGATGCTGATTGGCGAATACTCTCCTTTCTTCTCGATGCCTCTAAAATTTAATTATGTCGTTAATGATTGTTCCGTTTTGGGGGCCCTAAACTGCTGTACAACATAGTGGATGATCAAGCGCGAAACACCCGAACTACCTATTACAATTTTTATGATCAGTTTAATGTAAAATTTGTAAATTATAAGTAAGTTTTCTTTGAAATTTCTGCTATCACAGGAAGGTATTCACTCCCTAAACCTGTAGTATGGCTTTTTCATCCTTTCCAGTATAAAAATAATATTTATGGGTCTTATGTGCCATAATTATAAGTTAATTTTATTCCAATTTATA